CATTCTTTAAAAAATTAGCTTTATTCAACTATGCCATTGGTTTATTTTTACAAAAAGTTTTAATTTTCTAATCAAAGTACCTACAACTGCCTGTATTTAATTAATAAAGAATACACCTAAGTTTACATGATAAAATACGAAAGCGTTAAGAAATAATATACGCACCTGAACTCCACTTTTACCCAGTATGGTTTGTTAGAAATTCAATAAGTTAGACTAATATCAAATTACAATTACAGATAAGAAAGTACTGTGGCCGATTTGCCGCCAAAAAAAAGAGATGTACAGCAACTTTGATCTTGATTGATGTCCTGCTAATGATTATAGAACTATACTTAAAATAGAACTTAAAAATACCATAAAATTATAAACATAAACGTATTCTTACTTTTTTTCTGCTGTACGTCCCATTTTTCTTCGTGTTTCTTCAAAGTCTTGAAAATATGGTACATGGTACATTTCTCGATTGATAATAATGGTGACAAAGATGGCAACCAACAGGAAGTATCCGTCATAACCAACTTCACGTGATTCACGTGATTCACGTGACCAGCCGGATCCGAATAGCCATTTGCGGCTATTGGTACTCGGGTACCTATAGCCACTTCGTTGGTGAAAAGCGTATTAAAATATAAAATTTCCACTTAAAAGAACTATCATATTATTAAAATGACTTTAATAGTAGAATAGCTACTAGCGCTCAGAGCGAGAGGAACCGTGAACAACACATTCAGGAGATACGCATTTTATGCTATTTTGACATAAAATAATTCAAATGTTTCACAAAATTTTTGAAAATTATTTTAAAGCTATTAAATTATAATAAAAAAATGAAATAGAAATATTTTTTTTAAAATAAATATGTGACGTCACACATGGCCTGACCCCCCTCCCCCCTGTGACAAACTGTCACACTTTCTTACACCCCTCCCCCCCCCCCTCTGAAGCGTGACATACTTTATGGACGGCCCCTAAGACAGGAAGGGCAGGAACAAGATAAAAAGTTGTGACAGAGAACAATCACCTTGTAATTTAAATAAGTGGCTTCACACATGGTCTGACCCCCCTCCCCCGTGTGACAAACTGTCACACTTTCTTACACCCCTCCCCCCCCCCTCTGAAGCGTGACATACTTTATGGACGGCCCCTAAGACAGGAAGGGCAGGAACAAGATAAAAAGTTGTGACAGAGAACAATCACCTTGTAATCAATGCATGCCTGTATAGGGGGCCAATGACGGGAGTGAAGTAGTGGAGTGACGTGATCACGTTTCTTTGCCTTTAGAACTAACCTTGCAGCTGAGTTTCGAACTTTCTGCAATTTTTATATGAAATGTTTTGGTGAGCCAGACAGAAAAGAGTTACAACAGCCAAGACGATAGAGAACAAGAGCACAGACTAGTATTTTTTTGCGCTAACTGTGAGGTAGTGGCAGATGGAGCTGATCTGACGGATAGCGGTGCACGCAGAGCGACAGATGTGAGAAATATGATTATTGAGAGACATGTTGTCAGAAAGAATGTAACCAAGATATCCATCGGGGAGCGGGGAAATGAAAAAAAAGGGGGGGGGGGCTTATTTTCGTTCAGTAGCTTTCTGCGCCCTCACTTTCTGCCCGACTATTGTATGGTAATCAAAACGGTAGAGTCGGCATCTTAAAGAAACGCACATTAAATGCTAGTAATTAAAATGATTTTTCTTTTAATTTGTAATCTGACGTAGGCCTATATATTATTTTCCTTTAATTTTGTACGCCTCTATATAGTTGGGCTGTATTAATAGATTCCGGGGATAAAACTTAGCTGGAGCCAAAAAGCATACTCTCAACTCTACTGAATTTAGTTTATGTTCGGTGAAAGGGTGGCGTAATAACTAATTCTGGTCGTCGTTACGCCTGATTTTGGCCATGACCAGCGGCGTAGCTAGGGTAGGTGCTGCCCTGGGCGGGCTAAGGCGTTTGCCATCCCCCTTTAATGACAAGACTTTGCAGCAGAACTAAAAATGCCGCCATCCATAAATTGCAAAACACCCCACAGGGGCGGACCACTAAGCCATTGAAACTGCCCATCTGAACATCTGAAATGCCCCACCTCGAATAAATTGTCTTTAAAAAAAAAAAAAAGATATAGCCTATATCTGTGGTCGGCAAACTCATTAGAAAAAAAGAGCCAAAATCAGCAGCAGGACGATTTAAAAAGTTTTGAGAGCCAAATTTCTTTTCAATAACCTGTCAAGAACCATGTTTTTCGGAGTCGACTGGCCGAGACGCACTCAAGTCGCTAAAGAGTCCCATGCGGCTCGCGAGCCGTTATTTTGCCGACACTGGCCTATATACTGTATACAATATATACCAATATATACCAATGATTTTCAAAAGCTCCAGCGACACCATTCCAATCTTAAAATTTGCTGATGATATCACCATTGTTGGCTTAATATCTGAAGGAGAAGGCTTATACTTATACCGTAAGTTAGTTACAAGCTTTATCAAGTGGTGCGTTGAAAATTTTCTGCAGCTGAATGTCTCAAAAACAAAGGAAATGGTTGTTGATTTCACGAGGGGGAAACACCAAATTACAGATCTCAACATAAAAGATCAAAGTGTAGAGAAAGTGGAGGCATATTTATAAGTACTTAGGTGTCACCATTAATAATAAGCTAACATGGCATGAGCACGGCCACATGCTGATTAAGAAATTCACCCAAAGACTGTTCTACCCCAAAAAACTGTACAATTCGGCGTAAACAAGCAAATCGTTAACTTATTCTACAAAGCAACAATTAGAGGCCTACTTAATTTAAATATTACCTGCTAGTGTGGGAATTCGACGTCTGATATTAATATCAGACTAATCAAGAAAACTAGGAACATAACACAAACTAAACATCCTTCACTTGAAGAACTATTTGAAGAAAGATGGGTTTTTTTTGTGTAAAACTAAACACATTTTGGATGATACATCCCACCCTCTTCATCACAGATACTTAGGATCGGGCCGTTTGGGACGAGTTCTCTCCATCAGGGCGAGGACTGACAGATATACAAATTCTTTTGTTCCCCAATCTGTACGAATTTACCAGCGTGCTCCCTCTGAAGTCACACATCTTATTGAGAACTAATAAGTCCCCGATTTGGGTTAGAGAACTCACTAATGGATGTTTGAAATAATTTATTATAAATGTCTTGTGTTCAAAGTGTTTTATTTATGTGCTGAAAATGTATAATGCAATCATAAAACATTTCCATTTGTTTGGATCAATAAAAGAATCGTATCTTATATTATCTTATTTATATATTTATATATATATATATATATATATATATATATATATATAT